TGTGAGCTCTGATTGATGGGCAACAACAAGGGTCGGCGGGCCTGGACTGCCGGTTCTCGACGACGGGCAACCGAGAGGTACAGTAAACCAATTCGCTGTCTTCTCGTTGTGTTATGTCACTCCCTGGGTGACGGGCGGAGCGCATACCGATCGGGCAGCGATTATTAGTAGAGGGATCTCCGTAAAGAACCTCACATTAAAATGGCGCATCCAACGTGGAGCCCGTTCGGTATGCCTCTGCTTCTAGTCATCCCCAGGGAGTCCGACGGATTCGTTGAGCGGGTTGTTCACTAACGCTAACGATGCCCATTGAGACAAAGTATGTTGGAATTTGGGAGACTTGTCTCACAGCAGAGCTTAGCAGGTGTCTCTTCTAATTGAGTACCTAAAGGGCTCGAAGGACGAGTTTGCGGACGCGCTTTCTCGGGTGGGTGGTTATCATTTGAGCCCGTTCTTGTTTCGACCTTCTCACTTGGCCCTTCTCAAAACAACCATTCTCAAAAAGATCTTCTCTCTTTCGCATTCCAACCCTCGTCATTTGGGTCCGTTCTCGTTTCGCCCTTCTCACCTGGCCCTTTTCAAAACGGCCATTCTCAAAAATATCTCGCTTTGACCCGTCGCACTTGACTCTTTCTATACCACAATCGTTTCTTAGGGTAATATTAATAAATACATCGACATATTTTGTGCGTGTGTGTGTGCCGCACTACAGGCATACTCTCTCTGCTAAGGATTTTAGCAGTGCGTCGGGGTCGTCGTGAAAAGCTACTAGTTGACAGTAAAACAGACAAACTATTTATCGCAGCCAGATCATATTCCAAAATGTCACGTCGTTTGAGGTCTCTCGACTTGGGACTATGCCGCTACTTCTGCAATGCAGTGGTTCTCAAAAGGGGGTCTGCGAAGACGGGTGTAGCACGATTGCCCCGTGTACAGAATCCCTGTCGCAAAAGCCCCGCTTCATTAGCCCCACATTTCGAAAAACCCCGCGTTCAATTACCCCGTCCCGTATTCTTCGCGTGCCAAAAGCCCCGTCCTCACTGCCCCTCCCACCCTCTTTGCGCTTCAACCTGCATTGTTCCATGCGCCTACTAAGGGTCATGCAATTGAAAGAAAAAACAAAACAAGGTTACTTCAATCGCCGAAACACTTAGAAAGATGTACAAGTGGCCAACTGCATAAATCTGCATCACCAGCAATGCACTCCGCTATCATAGAAGGATACTCAGACGCAAAGTTATAAAGTTTATCTAGCTAGACGAGTACAAATACTTTTGCTGCGATAAATATGGCGCCATGATCTGCGGTTTAACAGCTTTGACAGAACCCACTTCGTCGGAATTGTGAATCCGCGCGTGCTTCAGAGTCAACGAAAGCTTCGGTTAAATGCTTATTGATAATAGCTGTAACATCAAATGTTTTGCCAGTGAATGATATTGTCTTCATATTTTCACTTCTAACGTCGCAAGACGTGAATGTGTTTAGTACACGCCTGAAGAACGGAAGCTTTATCCAGTTATTCATTACTTAAGTCCCGGGTACCTCATGATTACGTTACACAAGCTGGACTACACATTTTCTTTTAGTTAAAAGCAGAATGATCAGCCGTCAAGTTGAGGACCTGGCCACCTGACACGGGGGATTCGCATCATGGGCTTCTGAAACTGGGGCTTTTGAAAGCGGGGTAAAAAGGACGGGGTGTTTGCCGCGGGGTATTGGACACTGGGCTTTTGACATCGGGTGCATTCGTGCACCACCATGCGAAGACATCCTAGGGGTCCGCGAGGCCCTGTCTTGTCAGATCAGGCACGGCAATATTAGTTGTCTTTCTTCACCTTCAGAAGAAACGTTCCAGTTTTCGGGAGAGTACTCTCGTATGTATGTCAATGAGATCAATCTACTTTACACTAGCAATTAGTTATATTTATTTATTAAATAATTATCATGATAACCTATACCTTTCTATTCCCCTCACCCCGAACGGGGTCCCCCATCATCTCCGCCTTTCTACAAGGCGTCTGCGAAACATCAATGGTTGAGAACCACTGCCGTAATGTATGCTATTTTTGTTCAAAGTTTCCAAATTAAATGTTCATCGCTTTTTTTTCTCGTATGCTTAGAGGAAGGGAAGCAGGCGTCAATGTACGATTCTCAGTGCGTACCTCTACACATAACATATATCTGATGGTATGTTGTGGGCTCAAGCAAGGTAAGACTCATCAACAAAGCCGCGAAAGCATAAAGACGTTAAAAGCATGCCGAGCTAGTGCCATTCGGTCGTAGCGCGAACGGGCGAAATGAGAATGGGACCAGTTGCGAAAAACACGATTCGGATCTTATGAGAAGGTTCAAACGAGAAAGGACCAAATGAGAATGGGTCGAAATGTGCAAGGTTCAAATGCGAATGGGACGTTTTGAGATACACCCTTCTCGGGTACCCCAGAATAGTGGTTGGCAGGAGGCGAGGAGCGCAATTAAGATGTAAGAAAGTCGACTTCGGAGGCAGAAAAGAGGCACGGCATGTTCGCTGGAAGGCAGGATAACGACTAGCAGGAGGGAAACAGCCAGGACTCATTGCAGATTTAGGATTTAGGCTTGGGGTGATGCGGTAGGCAAGCAAGCGCTTGTCGAGGCCCGGGGTGCAGATGGGTTTTTATCAGTGGGTGTCGGAAAGACTGCGGGAATAGCAGTTGACACCGGGAACACTGGCGGACGAGATTGTCAGCGGGTGTCGGATAAACTAGCGGAAATTGCGGTTGACATTGGGAACGCTGGCAGGCGAGTTAATAGCACTATGATTTGTAACTGCTGGGCCAAGACGGCTAGTTGCTTCGCGTCACTCCAACAACCGACGAAGGGCAGAGGGACGACTCTCCCTTGAGGGGGGTCGTTCCAAGAAAGCTAAGAAATGTTCTATATGGTTCTTTCTCGACTTCACTCTGGCCGGTCGTGGCAGTGACAGCAAGACTTTTAATAAGTTATGTCGCGTCACGACCTGGCGGGGGATGAGGTGGTAGACATTTAGGTGGCTTGCAGCTGTCCAGTTTGCCTTGACGCGTGAACGGTTTAAGCGTGCTTACTCGCTGGGCTGCCGCCCCCTCCGAGGACCGATTGGTCCCTAGATCTCGTACGCACGTAGACGGAACGGGACGCTGACGTTGGGTAGCACATGGTGTATGTAGCCGTTGCGGTACGCGGGTATAGCATATGGCCATCCCGCCACAAGCTTTGGATCCTTTCGCTTACGCAAAAGATGGACTAGGTTTAGTCCATCGTTAACTGTTCTGAAGGAAACTCGCGCGTTGGGCAATGCAGCTAGTGGTTTTGCCGCATCGCTTGCTCCGAGGTGAGAAGGGCACCCGAGGTATAAAGACGCGAGCGTCGTGTCTTACTTCTAGGCTTACTCGGCGAGATACAAACGAGGAGGCTTGCCCGGCTCACATCGCTGGCTTGAAAGGATATACTACCGTCGTCGCATTTGGGAAGACGTATAACATGAGGGTACGGTAGGACACAAGAAATTTCCTGTTCTTGGCGACCCAGGAGCGAGTTCCGGAATGCGGACTTGCTGAGTTAGCCGCATGGTATACGAACCCGTCGGCAAGCTATTTGGCGGTAGAGGCTATGGCCACTGCCACAGTCTGCAGCAGAATACTTGTTCGTTGTGTATTGTTTTAACACTTTGTTCTGCGCAGAATACCGTATTTACTCGCACAATGAACGCACTCGCGTAATGAACGCACCCCCCAAGTCGGCTCACAAAAATTCGACTTTTTTTTTCTCCCGCGTAATAAACGCACCCCCAACTCCGACGTCAAAAATTTGACCCCCTCCCCCCACGCGCGCGAAATGAACGCACTTTTTTATCCTGGTGCAGCGAGGTCACGAATGAAAGGGCAGCATGGGCGAACAAAACGCCTTGCAAAAGGCGTTAAAAAAAATTCGAAAAGAGCCAACGGAAGCAAGAAAAAAGAAACATGAAGAGCTTTTTTTTTTTCTTTTTTTTCTGCACAGCGCAGTGTGGACTTCGGGGTCGCGTGCCGCGCGCGAGGAGGTGAGAGAAGCGGAGAAGCCCTCTAAGCAAACGAAACAGCTTGGGAAAGGCGGCAAGAAGAAAAAAAAAAATAACCAGGAACTAAGAGAAAAAAAACAAACAAAGAGCTTCTTTTTTTTTTTTTTTTTTTCTTCACAGCGCAGTCTGGACTTTGGAGTCGCGCGTCGCGCGCCGCGCGAAAGGAGGTAAGAAAGAGAAGCGGAGAAGCCCTCTAAGCAAACGAAACAGCTTGCGAAAGACTGCAAAAAAAAAAAAGAAATTATGGAATTAAGAGAAAAAGAACAAAAACAAAGAGGAGCGTTTCCTTTTTTTTTTTTTGCAGCGCAGTTTGGTTACAGAGGGGGGGGGGGGGTGTCGCGCGTTGGGCGCCGCGAGCAAGGAGATAAGAAAGATGAGCGGGAAAGCCCTCGCCTAAGCAAACGAGACAGCTTGCGAAAAACAGGCGGCAAAAACAAAAAAAACCCAAGGAGCTAAGAAAAAGAAAACAAGAGGAGCTTGTTTTTTTCTTTTTTTGCACATCCCAGTTTGGTTACGGGACCCGCGCCGCGGGCAAAGAGATAAGAAGTTACGTCGATTTTTCATGATAAAAAGCCCGTTCATTATGGGAGTAAATACGGACGAAAAAATTTTACTTCACGTAATGAACGCCCCCCCCTAACTTTGCATCGATTTTTCGGGAAAAAAAGTGCGTTCATTCTGCGAGTAAATACGGTAGCTTCTTGGAAAGACGGCCATAGACGGCGTAACCCAGGAAGCCCACCGGGAGGGAAGACGGGTCCATTCGTTTTCCCAAGTGCTCAGGGTGGCTGACAGTTTTTCGGCCTAATGAACAATTCAGGCAGGCAGTTTTAAGCCCGCTGTGACCTCTAAGCGGAACGGGGCAGGTCTGTCTGCGTCGGCCGGACCAGCTTCGAGCAAGCCCCCTGCTGCATCGCGGTGAGTGGGATAGCGAGCGACAGACAGGTCGTCATTGTCTGACGGCTTCGCTAGCCACCACCACCTACGCCGCTTTCGGACGCTGCATCGTGGCCACTCCGACAATAGCGGCCGCCCATGAAGCCCAGTGGCTCCCTGAGGCCCATGAAGTCCCCCGAAGTCCGGGCCTTGAGGGGGGGAGAGTGTGGGAGCCGAGGGTGAAAGATGAGGCAGACGGCACGTGACAGGCGGTCGGCGGAGAAGACACGAGCTGGCGCGAGACAGTGCGTGCTGAGCGAGGCTGAAGCTGAACAAGAACGTCGGGGGCCAAGCTGTCTGGCCTGGCCCATGGCGAACCCTGGAGCGGTCCACCAGCGAGGTCTGGAGCAAGACCGGTAAAAACGGCAAGCCCTGGCCATATGACTTGGGCTATGATGATCCCGGGGTGATTCCGCAGCGAGACTCGGGCATTGATAGCCCGGGATAGCCAGCCTACGCAGCGCTAACGTGGGAAAGGCGATCCGCAGGCCTGGACACGGACTTCGACTGTGAGCTCTGATCGACGGGCGACAACAAGGGTCGGCGGGCCTGAACTGCCGGTTCTCGACGATGGGCAACCGAGAGGTACAGTAAACCCATTTGCTGTCTTCTCGTTGTGTTATGTCACTCCCTGGGTGACGGGTGGAGCGCATACTGATCGGGCGGCGATTATTTGTGGAGGGATTTCCGTAAAGAACCCCACAAGGCGCACCATCCTGTTTTGAATGTATGCTTTACTTCCAAGCACGCAATTACAATATTCTTACTTTTTCAAATGTTTATCGTGGCGGGTTACCGCATTGAGTGTGCTTCTTACCAAGCACTGGTGCGCTGTGGAGTAGCAACACCCGCGGAGCTCGCTTACGCGGGTATTGCTTCTCCGCAGCACACCGCTGCTTGGTAAGAAGCACACTCAATGGGGCTAACCCACCACAATCAACACTTAAACAAACGCGAATAGTGCAGTTCTTCTCGAAGGTAATATCGAATAGTGTATTATTCGGAACTACAATTTGAAATTTCGAATATTCGAGCAACCCAAATAGGTAAGCGCCACAAATGTTCTCGACTTCATTAGCGATCATGCAATTGTCCACGTTCAAATAACATTTCCTTTTGGAAACCAAGAAAATGATCGGAAGCGAATTTTTAGCTATGCTAGGGCGAATATTGATGCAATTAATTTGTCGCTGGACCTTTTCCTACATGATTTCATACAAACATTATTTAGGTCTCTCAGTGGAATAAAAAAATGGAGTCTGATTAAACATGAAGTTCACAAATATAGGTCAATCAATTTTAAAACATTTTTTGCTGGATGAGACTCGCTATTGCCATGGTTTACAAATGCATTAAAGCGCATGTTAAACAAAACGGAAAGGCTCTTTCAGAGGGAAAAAAGAACAGGGACGGTGACTGGTCAGAACATAGTCTTTGGTAAAAAAAAATATAAAAAAAGAAATAAAAAAAAGCGAAAAATGAATTATTTGGAGTTGTGACAGGTAATAATGAAAAAGCAAGTTTTGGAAAATTGTAAATCCTAGGGAAACCCAATGTAGTCCACTGTTTACAAACCAGGAGGTTGACTGCGACAGTGATGCATAGGTGGAACAGCTTTTTTTCGACAGTATTCAAGCAGGAGACGCTTCCTTTGCCCCCGCCTCTTTGTGCGCATGTCTACACTTTCATTTACAAATTATCGCTCCCGTCCCACTTTGCTGCCAAGACAATGGAATATCTTCAAAAATGCTAAATAATTCCGCTTCTCTACTTTTTCAGCCCTGACTCACGTATCATCCCAACAGATTGGAATTTCTTTATCATTTAACCAATTTTCGAATGGGTATAAAATCCGACCCTTCCAACTGCTGTCCTATATCCCTTACGAGCGTCACGTGCAAAGTGATGGAACATGTCATTTTTTCAACTATCATGGAACACCTCGACAGGATTGACCACATTTTTCTGCTTCAGCATGGCTTCAGACAAAAATGCTCATGTAATACTCCCCTCTTTGAATTTATCACTGATTTGCACTTCAACACCCATGCTGGTACCTAGACTCGTGGCATCTTCATCGACTTGGCTAAGGCATCCGATACAGTTCCGCATTGTCGCTTACTACTAAAGCTTTCACACCTCCAAATAGACCCTTTGATTGTAGACTGGATAGCAGCCTTCTTACGTGGCCGAACGCAGTCAGTGAGATGAAACAACGCCCTTTCATCCCAATGTCCTGTCACATCAGGTGTCCCACAGGGAGCATAATAGGACCCCTCCTATTCCTGATATACATCAACGACCTTCCATCTACCTCAACGTCCACCATCAGGTTGTTTGCAGATAACTGTTGGGGACAATCCAAATGAAAGTGCCCGTCTTTTAAAACCTTTGGAAAAAAAAATGATCTCTTTCATTATATGAGTTATTCTTTAAACGTAAAAATATACCGCTCAGAAGGAAATTACAACGTCTAACAAAGGTTTAACAACCAAGATCTAAGCTCTCAGTCAAACTCTTAGCCAACGAGAAGTATAGCAGCCAATGGGGGCTAAACGTCGCAGAACACCCACTTTGTAATTCATGCAATTTAAGATGGCTGCAAACTAAAATCAGTCTCACACAATAAATATTGCTGTACAATTTTTTTTGCCCACAGAAGAGTTGTTTTTTCACATGCTTGTCTAAATTAGGTTGTTTAAAGAAATCATTTTTAAGCAGCCAAAAGCAAAGGACATTGTGATCCTGGCACCTCCGTAGCGGCCTATTCGTTGGTCTATCTCAAATAGGACCGCCGCACTGCTTTGCGGAGGCCGTTTTTAATACACTTTTTACTCGGTGTATTTACGTGGTTATAACTGTTACATGGCTATGCAGTCGCTACACTGCACCTTAAGCCCACTCTAGTTTATTGCTTTGCGGAGGCCGTTTTTAATACACTTTTTACTCGGTGTATTTAGGTGGTTATAACTGTTACATGGCTATGCAGTCGCTACACTGCACCTTAAGCCCACTCTAGTTTATTGCTTTGCGGAGGCCGTTTTTAATACACTTTTTACTCGGTGTATTTAGGTGGTTATAACTGTTACATGGCTATGCAGTCGCTACACTGCACCTTAAGCCCACTCTAGTTTATTGCTTTGCGGAGGCCGTTTTTATTACACTTTTTACTCGGTGTATTTAGGTGGTTATAACTGTTACATGGCTATGCAGTCGCCACACTGCACCTTAAGCCCACTCTAGTTTATTCAGTTTATTGCTTCATTGCTTACATTTTTTAAACATTGAGTCTACTTACTCATTAACAAAGCGTTAACTCCGGTGTTCTACAGGGCTCATGTTTTAGGTTCATTAAGTTTCCCTCGTTTACGTCAAGAACTCCAGCAGCCTGCATTTTGTCCCCTGCCTGTTTATTTACACATGACTGAGTTATTTAGCAAAAGATATAGACTGACAACGAGACGAGCTTCTTGCAGTTTGGCTTCGTAAGAATAAATAGCCGACGTTGTACATGGCTAATGGAACTGAACATTGCAAGATGCAAATCAACGCATGTCTCGTTGTAATATGCCATTTGTACTACCCAATACATAAATAACATTGGTTTGGAGTTCATTTGTTCTTGCCAGTAGCTTGGTGTTCACGCAAGATGCAAGTAGGGTGACCACCCGTCCCACGACTCGCGGGACTGTCCCACATTGAGGGCTCGTGTCCCGCGCCCCGCGAGAAATCCCCAAATTTTCAAAATGTCCCGCATTTTATACCATCGTAAAATTCACTCTGCAACTCATGGTGCTACCGAACAACGGGCCACGAAGAAGCGCGGAGGTCGCTGGTAATCATGTGAATCGGTGTGGTACGCCATTTTTGTATCTAAGCATTGCAGGAAGCCACCGTCGTTCTTGTAGGAAGACTGACGTGCATGCGCCGTTGTGCCTCTTCCCTTGGTGGCCAAATATTGAGAAAAATGCTCACCAATAGTTGTGTGTAGTTAATGCGGTAACTATAAATTATTGTAATTATTTCATATAGTTGTCTTAATGCGAAAAGGTTGTTGTGAAGATTTTTTTTAGTGACGACAACCAGACAAGGCAAAAAGCCTGCAACTCACAAAGGTGGAAAAAGAACATAATGTTAAAAATGTGTGTAGGACGATGTTGATAAAAGTAAACGTTGATAGGAAACAATAACCCGTAAAAGATTTACTGTTTCTTAATTTCATTTGATTCATTGAGTTCTGCTGCAGCTGGATTTTATGCCTTAATTAAATAACACATTTGGCATAAAAAGATATCACTGGGAGTGAAAATTATTTTAGCTTAATAGCTGCAATACAGTTTCCAGCTCCATAAACAGCACAGTATATTAAATGTGTTAACAGACCCTCGGTTCGTGGTGTGCGTGTTCACAAATTTCCTCTACCCCCTCCCCCTCTCCCTCCCCCCCTGTTCCGCGTGTCCTGCATTTCGCTAGCAGGAAGGTGGTCACCCTAGATGCAACCTTTCATGGAACTTTCGCATAGAGCGCGTCATTAAGACTGCTAACCGCATGCTTGGTTTCATGACAAGAAATTTTATTCCTATGCCCTAATCCCTTAAACTTCACTTTTTCAAGTCACAGCTAAGATAGAAGCATGAATCTTTTCATCTGGGACCTCGCCATGGAAAACCTAAATTATTTCTTAGAATCAGTTAAAGGACACATGCAAAGAAAAAAATTTTTTTAAGACAGCTTAGATGGAAAAAGGATGTCATCAAACGATTTTACAACAAAGAAAAAATATTTTTAGAGCTATATATACGGCGCTATACAAATTTGTAGTTGGTGCCCGCAGGCGCCGCGGAAAAGTGGCCCTTTTCTCACGTGAGAGGCCCATATTTGATACGTGGTGCTTGCGCTCTTTCGGAAGCTTCCTATGGCCCCTAAAAGTAACTTATTCATCTTTGTTGGAAGCATAAAAAAAACTAAGATGAATAAGTAACTTTTAGAGCCCAAAGGAAACTTCTGAAAAAGCGCAAGCAGATGTGACAGACCTGTGCGCCGGTCAGATGATGGCAGCAGCGCCTCGAAGCAGACGAACTGGTGCGGCAAAGGCGGTGTGGAGAAACCCGTTGAAGCGGTGTCACACAACGCTCAGCGTGCGGCGGCGGCGTGACTTTGCGGCGGCGCAGTGCGGCAGCGCGCGGGCCTACCACGTGACCAGCGGCTGCTCTGCGGGCACCAACTACAAATTCGGATAGCGCCGTAAATGTAGCTCTAAATTTTCTTTTCTTCGTTGTAAATTTGTTTTATAATATTCTTTTTCCATCTAGCCTGTTTTAAAACAAAGTTTTTTCCTTTGCATGTGTCCTTCAAGAAATCTGCGTGTTTCCTAACTAGCGTCATACTGCTGCTATAAACTCTATGAAACTTTCTTTATAAATAATGAATCTTGCTCTGCATAGACACTCCATCTATTTCACAAAATGAATTGTCATTCTTTAATGAGTCCAAGCACCTGGTCCAAGCACCTTCCCCACCAAACTGCCAACATCCATGACTAAGCAAAATTTTTAAAGAAGCTATTAGGTGTTTCGATATTGAATCGTACAATGATGAACCAGGGAAATATTTAGTAATTTTTGTGTATAAATATATTTATGTGAAAGCCATGTTCCTGGGAGGAGTATTAAACTATATTCCAACATTTTAGCTATTTTTTTTCATGACATGAAATTTAGAAGGTCAAGGTGTGGGGACTACCAAGGTTTCATTATGGTACTCTGCACAGCCATCAAACAAAATCATGCACATAGTAATAACTGTTTCATACTTATTTTATTTAACAGTTAGAGGATGTAGACAAAAAAAATATTTCTATAAAAAAAAATCAATCATTCCACATATTTTTAAAACATTCCAAAATTATTTACCACGAAATAACTTTACAAGTATAAAAATTGGCATCTTTAAAAGCATTTTACAATTTTACCACGTCTAAAGAAATCAGCTTCATTTCTCCCCTAATTACTCAACAATAATATCTGGTTATATATATTTTATATATTTGTAAAATGCAGCTGATTTCTTTAGATGTGGTAAAATTGCACATAATTATGTGAAAAAAAAAGATGTTTATTTTCTACTAAGATTTTTTTATAAATATTCCAGTCTCTTAAAGTGACTTGGGAGGGCAAAAAAAAAAAAAGTAAGACACGACCTCCAAAACAGAAAAACGGCAACAGAAGTTAACTCAAAATGTGCTAGCATGACTTTGTTATGGGGGATTTGCCGCGTGATGCCGACTACATAAAGAAATTTTCTAGAATAGGAGAATTTGTTTCGAAGCTGCCTTTGGTAATGTAATCCAGACATTTACTTATGAACATCACGCCTCTTGCAGAGTCCCTAACTGCAAAACTGCACCACGAAGACCAAGGGCTTGTGACCGTCAAATAGAAAGGTAAGAATTTCAGATGAAAACAGCGTGCACTTCCTTACACACTCCAACAACCAAACACGCCTTACCAGGAAAGCACTTGATGTCAAAGCCAAACATATTAAACACTCATTGAAACGTGCCACTACAAACTCTACAAAAGAAAAGACAGCCATGTCCACATGAAAACAGCTAGCAGCCTTCATGGCAGGTTCTATCTTAAAGGCGAAAATGACCGGCAGAAAAATTTTTGCCAGCCAAATTTCGAAGCTGCAGAGTCCAAACATTCAGTTTTACACAACAGGAGGAACACGACAAGAGAAGTGCAAATGAAAACTGCGTGTGCCACTGCACACAACTCAAAACCCACACACGCCTTGCCAGCAAAGCACTACTGAGCAGTCGTAAGGACAGCTGACGACAACCGTTACGACAGGTTCCAGCTGTGAAACGAAAACGTCTTGCAGAAAGTTTTTGCCAGCCAAATGTCGAACCCTCACAGATAAAAAAATATGTTTTACGCACCGGTAGGAACCCGAGAAAAGAAGTACAGACGAAAACTTTCTGCAACCCCACAGAGAGATCTGATTAGGCGCACGCCTTGCCAGCAAAGCGCTTCCTAGCTGTTGTAAAGGCAGCCGACAACAACCGTTACGACAGGTTCCAGCTGTGAAACGAAAATGTCTTGCAGAAAGTTTTTGCCAGCCAAATGTCGAACCCTCACAGATAAAAAAATATGTTTTACGCACCGGTACGAGCTCGAGTAAAGAAGTACAGACGAAAACTTTCTGCAACCCCACAGAGAGATCTGATTAAGCGAACGCCTTGCCAGCAAAGCGCTTCCTAGCTGTTGTAAAGGCAGCCGACAACAACCGTTACGACAGGTTCCAGTTGTGAAACGAAAACGTCTTGCAGAAAGTTTTTGCCAGCCAAATGTCGAACCCTCACAGATAAAAAAATATGTTTTACGCACCGGTACGAGCTCGAGTAAAGAAGTACAGACGAAAACTTTCTGCAACCCCACAGAAAGATCTGATTAGGCGCACGCCTTGCCAGCAAAGCGCTTCCTAGCTGTTGTAAAGGCAGCCGACAACAACCGTTACGACAGGTTCCAGCTGTGAAACGAAAACGTCTTGCAGAAAGTTTTTGCCAGCCAAATGTCGAACCCTCACAGATAAAAAAATATGTTTTACGCACCGGTACGAGCTCGAGTAAAGAAGTACAGACGAAAACTTTCTGCAACCCCACAGAGAGATCTGATTAAGCGCACGCCTTGCCAGCAAAGCGCTTCCTAGCTGTTGTAAACGCAGCCGACAACAACCGTTACGACAGGTTCCAGCTGTGAAACGAAAACGTCTTGCAGAAAGTTTTTGCCAGCCAAATGTCGAACCCTCACAGATAAAAAAATATGTTTTACGCACCGGTACGAGCTCGAGTAAAGAAGTACAGACGAAAACTTTCTGCAACCCCACAGAGAGATCTGATTAAGCGCACGCCTTGCCAGCAAAGCGCTTCCTAGCTGTTGTAAACGCAGCCGACAACAACCGTTACGACAGGTTCCAGCTGTGAAACGAAAACGTCTTGCAGAAAGTTTTTGCCAGCCAAATGTCGAACCCTCACAGATAAAAAAATATGTTTTACGCACCGGTACGAGCTCGAGTAAAGAAGTACAGACGAAAACTTTCTGCAACCCCACAGAGAGATCTGATTAAGCGCACGCCTTGCCAGCAAAGCGCTTCCTAGCTGTTGTAAACGCAGCCGACAACAACCGTTACGACAGGTTCCAGCTGTGAAACGAAAACGTCTTGCAGAAAGTTTTTGCCAGCCAAATGTCGAACCCTCACAGATAAAAAAATATGTTTTACGCACCGGTACGAGCTCGAGTAAAGAAGTACAGACGAAAACTTTCTGCAACCCCACAGAGAGATCTGATTAGGCGCACGCCTTGCCAGCAAAGCGCTTCCTAGCTGTTGTAAAGGCAGCCGACAACAACCGTTACGACAGGTTCCAGCTGTGAAACGAAAACGTCTTGCAGAAAGTTTTTGCCAGCCAAATGTCGAACCCTCACAGATAAAAAAATATGTTTTACGCACCGGTACGAGCTCGAGTAAAGAAGTACAGACGAAAACTTTCTGCAACCCCACAGAAAGATCTGATTAGGCGCACGCCTTGCCAGCAAAGCGCTTCCTAGCTGTTGTAAAGGCAGCTTACAACAACCGTTACGACAGGTTCCAGCTGTGAAACGAAAACGTCTTGCAGAAAGTTTTTGCCAGCCAAATGTCGAACCCTCACGGATAAAAAAATATGTTTTACGCACCGGTACGAGCTCGAGTAAAGAAGTACAGACGAAAACTTTCTGCAACCCCACAGAGAGATCTGATTAGGCGCACGCCTTGCCAGCAAAGCGCTTCCTAGCTGTTGTAAAGGCAGCCGACAACAACCGTTACGACAGGTTCCAGCTGTGAAGCGAAAACGTCTTGCAGAAAGTTTTTGCCAGCCAAATGTCGAACCCTCACAGATAAAAAGATGTTTTACGCACCGGTACGAGCTCGAGAAAAGAAGTACAGACGAAAACTTTCTGCAACCCCACAGAGAGATCTGATTAGGCGCACGCGTTACCAGCAAAGCGCTTCCTAGCCGTTGTAAAGGCAGCCGACAACAACTGTTACGACAGGTTCCAGCTGTGAAACGAAAATGTCTTGCAGAAAGTTTTTGCCAGCCAAATGTCGAACCCTCACAGATAAAAAAATATGTTTTACGCACCGGTACGAGCTTGAGTAAAGAAGTACAGACGAAAACTTTCTGCAACCCCACAGAGAGATCTGATTAGGCGCACGCCTTGCCAGCAAAGCGCTTCCTAGCTGTTGTAAAGACAGTCGACAACAACCGTTACAACAGGTTTCAGCTGTGAAACGAAAACGTCTTGCAGAAAGTTTTTGCCATCCAAATGTCGAACCCTCACAGATAAAAAAATATGTTTTACGCACCGGTACGAGCTCGAGTAAAGAAGTACAGACGAAAACTTTCTGCAACCCCACAGAGAGATCTGATTAGGCGCACGCCTTGCCAGCAAAGCGCTTCCTAGCTGTTGTAAAGGCAGCTTACAACAACCGTTACGACAGGTTCCAGCTGTGAAACGAAAACGTCTTGCAGAAAGTTTTTGCCAGCCAAATGTCGAACCCTCACGGATAAAAAAATATGTTTTACGCACCGGTACGAGCTCGAGTAAAGAAGTACAGACGAAAACTTTCTGCAACCCCACAGAGAGATCTGATTAGGCGCACGCCTTGCCAGCAAAGCGCTTCCTAGCTGTTGTAAAGGCAGCCGACAACAACCGTTACGACAGGTTCCAGCTGTGAAGCGAAAACGTCTTGCAGAAAGTTTTTGCCAGCCAAATGTCGAACCCTCACAGATAAAAAGATGTTTTACGCACCGGTACGAGCTCGAGAAAAGAAGTACAGACGAAAACTTTCTGCAACCCCACAGAGAGATCTGATTAGGCGCACGCCTTACCAGCAAAGCGCTTCCTAGCTGTTGTAAAGGCAGCCGACAACAACTGTTACGACAGGTTCCAGCTGTGAAACGAAAATGTCTTGCAGAAAGTTTTTGCCAGCCAAATGTCGAACCCTCACAGATAAAAAAATATGTTTTACGCACCGGTACGAGCTTGAGTAAAGAAGTACAGACGAAAACTTTCTGCAACCTTACAGAGAGATCTGATTAGGCGCACGCCTTGCCAGCCATGCGATTCCTAGCTGTTTAAAGGCAGCCAACAACAACCGTTACGACAGGTTCCAGCTGTGAAACGAAAACGTCTTGCAGAAAGTTTTTGCCATCCAAATGTCGAACCCTCACAGATAAAAAAATATGTTTTACGCACCGGTACGAACCCGAGTAAAGAAGTACAGACGAAAACTTTCTGCAACCCCACAGAGAGATCTGATTAGGCGCACGCCTTGCCAGCCATGCGATTCCTAGCTGTTGTAAAGGCAGCCAACAACAACCGGTACGACAGGTTCCAGCTGTGAAACGAAAACGTCTTGCAGAAAGTTTTTGCCAGCCAAATGTCGAACCCTCACAGATAAAAAAATAATGTTTGAAGCACCGGTACGAACCCGAGAAAAGAAGTACAGACGAAAACTTTCTGCAACTCCACAGAGAGATCTGATTAGACGCACGCCTCTCCAGCAAAGCGCTTCCTAGCTGTTGTAAAGAGAGCCGACAACAACCATTACGACAGGTTCCAGCTGTGGAACGAAAACGTCTTGCAGAAAGTTTTTGCCATCCAAATGTCGAACCCTCACAGATAAAAAAATAATGTTTGACGCACCGGTACGAACCCGAGAAAAGAAGTACAGACGAAAACTTTCTGCAACCCCACAGAGAGATCTGATTAGACGCACGCCTCTCCAGCAAAGCGCTTCCTAGCTGTTGTAAAGACAGCCGACAACAACCATTACGACAGGTTCCAGCTGTGGAACGAAAACGTCTTGCAGAAAGTTTTTGCCATCCAAATGTCGAACCCTCACAGATCAAAAAATAATGTTTGACGCACCGGTACGAACCCGAGAAAAGAAGTACAGACGAAAACTTTCTGCAACCCCACAGAGAGATCTGATTAGGCGCACGCCTTGCCAGCAAAGCGCTTCCTAGCTGTTGTAAAGACAGCCGACAACAACCATTACGACAGGTTCCAGCTGTGGAACGAAAACGTCTTGCAGAAAGTTTTGGCCAGCCAAATGTCGAACCCTCACAGATCAAAAAATAATGATTTACGCACCGGTAGGAACCCGAGAAAAGAAGTACAGACGAAAACTTTCTGCAACCCCACAGAGAGATCTGATTAGGCGCACGCCTTGCCAGCAAAGCGCTTCCTAGCTGTTGTAAAGACAGTCGACAACAACCGTTACAACAGGTTTCAGCTGTGAAACGAAAACGTCCTGCAGAAAATTTTTGCCAGCCCAATGTCGAACCCGCTCAGATCAAAAAATTTGTTTGACGCACCGGTAGGACCCCAGAAAAAA